CTTTTCGGTGGAGGCAGCGAAGGGACAGAAGGAGATGGAGGAAAGGGGGGGAAATCATCTACAGAAACGTCCAGAATTCGGATACTCCTCTTAAACATAAACAAATTGTTTCAGGTGGGGTGGTGGGCTGGTTCTGAGGGGGAGAGCTCTACTCTGCAAAGGCTTCACAAGGAGGGAGGTGATTGCCCTTAAGGGAGATAGGGCAAATTTTGGGGGATGCTCTATTCTGGGGCTGCGGGAGATGTATTGGTCGACATCATACCACAGCGGAGGAAGACTAGGGCAAGGGGTTGGCAGAGGCATTCTTTGGATGGGAACTGGATGCCTTTGTGGGAGTAGGGGGGAAACGGGTCTGTACCAAGCTGGGGCTGATGAGGAGTGCCCGTGATCCGGGGCGGTCCTTTTTGGCGGAGGCAGCGGTGGGGCAAGGGGATGAGGAGTTTTCAAAACAAGCACCCTTGTTATTCCTGGTAGTTTGAAGAATCTCTCGGGACTCTAAGGGTTTGCTGGCGGTTTGTACGAATCTACACTGGAATCAGACTGTTATATTCAGGATCCGTAGCTGTTCAACGCCAGAACGACGCTGGCCGGAGACGGGGTGATGCCCTGTAACTTGCCGAAGGTGAGGGCATGAGGCCTTGTAGAGAGATCTGGGGATGCTATGCGGGGGCATCCTAAAGGACAGTTGGGGGTTGCTGTCATAGGACGACACTGGCCGGAGCTGGAGTGAGTCGCGCCGCTCTGTAACCTAGCAAAAAGGGGGGGTGAGGCCTAGATGAGTTTGCCAGAGAATAAGTCAGTTTTAGTGAGTATTGGTATGATATGTTGGAAATCCCTTAGATACTTGAGTGTTCGGAAAACTGCGGTGGATTTCAGGAGGTGTTCAGTGATCTTAAAAGGAGGCCAGTCTTCTATGTGGTTTTATACTAATCATGATGATCATCATCATCATATGAGGGACGCTGAGCCCGGTGTTCAGCATGATCGGTTCGGTCACTCCGGGTAGTCTGTGAGGACCCCGACCTTAAGCTTTTTGTTGATAATATCAGCCTTGGGCACTAGGCCCGTGTTTTTCAAAAAAAAAAAAAAAAAAAAAAAAAAGAAGGACAGAGTTGAAGGACAGAGTTGAAACGTTTTTAGACACTATCGGGGATCAGAGACGACACGATGGCTAACTAGTGAATTTAACAAACAACTGCAACTTTGGTCAGTCCTTTGGGTTTGTTCGAGGAAACCGCCTGAAGATGATCGGCTGACAACCGATCAAATCGCGGCATAGGGGGAAGCCGCTGGTTGGAAGGTGGAGGTTGGCACTTACGTGTCATACCTGTGTTCACTCACAGTTTGTGGGTAGACGAACAATTGTATTGTGCTCATCGTTGTATCCTACGAGGGTTTCAAGCAGATTTTGTGAATCAATTAAAAAAAGAAAAAAAAAGAAAAAAAAAAAGCTTTGTGGAGCTATAAATGCATATATGTCGACAAGCCTGTATATCTATAACTCTATTATAGGTGAATCAGATTCTATGATTGAAGTACCAGTATACTACTACGTGCACATGAATTTCAGAATTAAGACTTCAAATACAGTCTCCTGACTCTCCCAGGACCCTATTTCGTCCATCCATTCAGCTTCCACTGGGAAACCTCCCGTAGCTCCCTTGCCTTCCATCCCAAGCTTTGCCTTCCTGTCCCCCTCCCCCTTTCTCTTCTTTGTACCACTTACAGCATAACCTTAACAACCATTTCGTCGAAATCTATTTCTTTTTTTTCATTCAATGAAATGGGACTGCCCAGATGCAGCCCAAGAAAATGCTTGATTGGCTCTAAGATTTCCTGGGGACTTCAACGTGAACGTTTTTGCAATTCTTAGTGGATCTAGGGATTCATCTTCCCCCACAACCAGTCAACAATTCCACTTCCACAACCGAGGCGGTCTCACTCCGGAACGCTCTAGCAGAGCGAATGAAGCACATGTAATCCGCGATAAGACCTGGCTGTTTCTCGCGATGAAAGTACCATGTTCATGTCCTGTCCCGCCGTGGTCGATCCAGAGCGCTCGCTTCGTTGGCTTTCAAGGCCAGATGATATTTTGTTGTCTGGGTGGTGTGTTGGACGTTTCTTCCATCGAGGACGACTTGTTTGGCCGTCCTCATAATTGTAGACAACGGCAACAAGGGTGTTTCATTTGTCGATCATCTGGGTGGATGCTTGTAGTGACGAGGAGTCGAGGATTGTTGTTGTTCCTCGCTTTGTCGTTGCGTCTTTTCTTTAATGGTTTCACCATACCTTTCTTTTCGCCCCGTTTCCGGCGATTGCGGGGCTTGGGGTGGGGGAGTGGAGGTGGTGTGGTGGCAGGTGCCGGTGGTCTGTGTCGTCGCCCGTACGTCGTACGGGGGGTCTCCGTACGGCCCGTACGGACGGACGGACGGACGACCGTACGGGCATACGGACGACGGTCGTCCGAAGGTGTTTTAGGGCCAAAAAAAAAAAAAAAAAAAAAACTAAAAATATGGGGTTGTAGATCTTTTCGAGATCTACAACGCCATTTTTTTTTTCTATTTTTTGGACTTAAAGAGGATTTAAAAAAAAAAAGACCAAAAAAAAAGAAAATAAAAGAATTTGGTACCAAAACAAAAACGGGCAGTTGCCCCGCATGCTTGTGTGTGTGTGTGTGTGTGTGTGTGTGTGTGTGTGTG